TTATTACAAAAATTCCAATTTCCTCCATTAAACTCGAATTAAACGATGAATATAACCATAGATTCATGAAATATAATCACTTTTAGATACAAAACACGTACCCCAACCAAGCTTGTGAAAAATCCCTCCAGAATCGCCCAAATCTGAGCTCCAAAAATTCAAAAATGAAAATGACGAAATGACCATTTTTGGTCCTTAACATTCTGCCCAGTTTCTCACCTACGGACGAGTCGCCGCATCTGCGGAGCCTCTTTTGAGAGCCAAAATCCGCTTCTGCGGAAGTGCACTGCCCAGTTAACCCTCGCATATGCGGAAGCATTTCCGCTTCTGCAAAAATCGCAGGTGCGAGGCCATTGCTCGCTTCTGCGCAAAAAGGCCCCTTCTGCGAAGCCGCAGAAGCGTGAAGTTTCCCGTTCCTGTGAAGTTCCCCAGCATCCCCTCAGGTCTCTTCTGTAATGAGCACCTCGCTTCTGCAAGGTCACTTCTGCGATCTAATCCTCCGCAGAAGCGATTGCACCAACAATCAAAATTCCAGCAGTCTTCTTCAAGTCCAAATTGATCTGCTAACCATTTGGAATCCACCCTAGGCCCTCGGAAATTTAACCAAATATACCAACATGTCGCAAATACAATACGAACTTAGTCGAGGCTACAAACCACGTCAAACAACGCCAAAATTATGAATCACGCATCAAATCGAATTATGAGTTTTTAAATCTTCCAACTTCTATATTTTGCGCCGAAACATTTCTATTCAATCCGGAATGACTTCAAATTTTACACGCGAGTCATAAATGACGTAATGGAGCTGTTCAAATTTCCGGAATCGAAATCCGACCTCGTTATCAAAAGTTCAACCTTCGGTCGAACTTTTCAAAAATTTTCTATTTTCCAACTTTCGCCAAAATGCGTCGAATTATCCTACGGACTTCCAAATCCAAATCCGGACACATGCCTAAGTCCGAAATCACTATATGAAGTTATTGACATCATCTAAATTCTATTCCGGAGTTGTTTGCTCAAAAGTCAAACTCCGATCAACTTTTTTCATTTTAAGCTTCAAAATGAGAATTGTTCTTTGAATTTAATTCTGAATCTTTCGAAAATCAAACTCGACCACACCCGCGGGTCATAATACATATTACGAAACTGCTCGAGACCTTTAGTCGCTGAACGGGGCATAATTCTTAATGACAAATAGGGTCATTACAGACATCGAGGGATTAAAATTGATCAAGCCAAAGTAGATTCAATCTTGAAAATGCCTGGGCCTCGGGATATTCATGAATTGAAAAGTTTGCATGGAAAGTTAGCGTACCTTAGGAGATTCAACTCAAACCTAGCTGGGAGGTGCCAACCATTCAGTTGCTTTATGAAGAAATGTGTCCCTTTCAAATGGGACCAAGCATGTAGCAATGCCTTTGAGAGTATTAAATCCTACTTGATTAACAAGATTTGTGATCTCTTTGGCTTCAAGCAACGCAACTCTTCTATGTACGATGCTGCCGCCAATGGTCTAGCCGAGGCATTCAATAAGACATTATGCAACTTGTTAAAGAAATTCGTCTCTAAATCCAAACGAGACTGGCATGACCGAATGGAAGAAGCTCTGTGGGCATATAGGACAACTCACTGCACGCCAACACAAACGACCCCTTATGCACTCGCTTATGGAGTCGAAGTCGTCTTACCACTCGAGCGTCAAATACCTTCGTTACGATTAGCTATTCAAGAAGGGATCATTGATGAAGAAAATGCTTGACTTCGATTAGCAGAGTTGGAGGCTCTTGATGAGAAGAGGTTGGAAGCTCAACAAAGTCTTGAATGTTATCAAGCTCGATTGACTCGCGCCTTAAATAAAAGAGTTCGCCTAAGATCCTTTCAAGTAGGAGCTCAAGTCATTGCCGTACGAAGACCCATAATTACTTCCCATAAACCTGTAGGGAAGTTCACTTCAAAATGGGATAGGACATATGTCGTACAAGAAGCTTACTCAAGTGGGACTTACAAGCTGGTTGATGCAGATGGCAAGAGTATCGGTCCTATCAATGGCAAGTTTTTGAAGAAGTATTATACTTGAAGTTGCAACGCTCCTTGATGCATGGGCCTAAACTGCACATTCCTACACTCCTGGCCCGCATGAGTCTAAACTGTGTACGACCCACCAAAAAAAGGGTCTGCTAGGTTGAAAACCTCGAAAGAGGTAGCCTAGGCAAAAGTTAGGACATAAAAAAAAGAGTCTGCTAGGTTGAAAACCTCGAAAGAGGCGGCCTAGGCAAAAGTTAGGACATAAAAAAAAGAGTCTGCTAGGTTGAAAACCTCGAAAGAGGCGGCCTAGGCAAAAGTTAGGACATAAAAAATAAAAATAAAAAATAAAAAATCACCCATTCCGAACTACGGTATGACTTGATCCTCTTCACCGAGATACGTAGGCAGCTTAGAGTTTTATTCTGAGTTCAGTCGCATGAGTTCAAAAGATAAGGGTGCCCCAATTATTTTTCGAATGAAGTACGATGGAATGTAATCCATTCAACCACCACTTGAAAATCGAGTCGAGATACCATTCTTCTGTTAAACTTTGGATCCCATTTGATTTAAGGGGGCAAGCTGCTATGATAAAGTGGTGTCTTCACTAAAATGAAGACAATATTTACATCAAAGTCTGGGGATCCTCTATGTCTCCATGTTCGCATAACCTTCAAGTTTGTTGGTCTTCATATCCGCTCACTGCCCTAAAAAAAGGGGGAAGAGAAGAGAGGCATCAAAAGGGAACACAAATATAAGAAGAAAGATTTTCGGGCATAACGTTTCAAATTCAGTGAGACTTGAACCCAAGATATTTGTGAGAATGGATTTCTTGAATTTCTATTGATAGCAAGAAAAACTTCCTATGATCTCGAGGCTTCCATACCAAAACATAAAAGTTTTGGCGAAGTTGTGTCAATTCGAAACTGTCGGTATATTAAAATCTGATGTTGATTTCAAAATACTATCTGAAACTATCCTTAAAGTATTAAATCCTAAATTTTGGAAATGTTTTATATTTTGAAGTATTATTTTCATAAAATCAAACGGTTCGTGATTTCGACATTCCTACATCAATATATAAAAGTTTTGCTCAAGTCGCGCAAGTTTGAAATTATCAGTGTGTCGGAATTTTATGTTGACTTTGAAATATTATCTGAAACTATCCCTAAGGTATTAAATCTATAAATTTTGCTATTTTATATATTTTACAGTTTTGTTTTCGACAAATCTAACGGTCTATGATTTCGATGTTCCTACACTAAGATACATATATTTTGGTGAAGGCATAAATCTGAAACTATCAACGTGTTAGAATCTAAAGTTAGATTCAAAATAATATCTGGGACGATTCTCAAAATGTTTGATTCCTAATTTTGGATATGTCTTAGATCTTGAAGTTTGTTTTTCAAAAAATCAAGTGGTTCATGATTTCGACGTTTTCACCCCAAGATATAAAGTTTTTGGTGAAGCTGCGTAAATCTAAAACTATCAACGTGTTGGAATCTAAAGTTAGATTCAAAATAATATCTGGGACGATTATCAAAATATTTGATTTCAAATTTTGGATATATCTTAGACTTTGAAATCTTGTTTTCATAAAATCAAACGGTTCATAATTTCGACGTACCTACACAAAAATATGAATTTTTTAGTGAGACTGCGCAAATCTGAAATTTTCAACACGGCGAAATCTAAAGTTGGTTTCAAAATATTACCTGCGGAGATTCTGAAGGTGTTTGATTCCGAATTTTGGATATATCTTATATTTTAAAGTTTAATTTCTAAAAAATCAAATGGCTCATATTTTTGACGTTCTCACATTGAGATATATATCTCCTACCATAAAGGTACAAAGATGATGAACAATATTATCCTCAAAGAAAAATAAGGATGTATCTCCAAATACAGAGAATTTCGAGACATGAACGCCAATGACGTTTAAAAGAAAGCCAAGTTCTATTATGGGGACATCAATACATCATGATAAGCAAAGAACTATTTATATTGAACCGCAAAGGAAAAAAGGGACATTAATGAAAACGCATGATATAAAGTAAAACGGATAGAGTTTTCATTTCTAAGAATAGTCGCTAGTTAATCAAATACAAAAAAAAAGAGGCGAATAAAATACTCTATATAGACTAATCTAAACACAAATTGTAATTGACCAAGTTTTTAAGGGTTGCCTATATGTGTTGTTTCTTCATCTCCACGTCTGCCAAGTAATCAGCAGTTGCCAAGGAAACATGAGAACATCTATGGTACTGCTCTTCAGCAGATGAGACTCTAGATTCAATCTCTTCAACCTTTTTCTTGGCAACACCTCGAAGAACTCTTAACTGTTTCACCTTCTCCTTGGCCTCTTTGAGAGACTGATTGGTGGCAGACAATTTCTTGACCTTCTCCCCTTTCTCAATCAAGACAAGATCAAGATGTTCCTTGGCGTTTAAAAATGACTCTGATTTTTCAACATCCACAACCTTGTCAGAAAGAGTTGATCGTTGTTGACATCCAATTTTATCCCTCCATTCTTCTAATTAATTTTCTTAAGCTTCTAAGTAATTAATACATCAAAAAAATAGTATTTTTCAATACTATTTTCCATTTACTACTACTACTACTATCATTGTTATTATTATTTTAGTACTACTGCTACTATTAATACTATTTATTAGTAGTGCTAGTAACATTATTATTAATATTATCATTAATAATATAATTATTTATTGAGTTAGTCACTTATTTAATATGTAGTATTATATATGCTCAAAGTATTTTTATTGAGTACAACTTATTAAAATATGGGAGCCTAAAAAAATTAATTAGAAGAAGGAAAAGGGAGCAGACCGTAATTTTCGGCCCAAACAAATCATTCCTAACAGCCCAAAATGCAAAGATCCAGCCCAATCGATCTCCCAACTCATTTCCAGCAGCCCCAAATATTATTTTCTAAAACTAATTTCCTCACAAGCAGCTGCCCCCACCTCTTTCCTCTCTTGAACAAAAACCCATTCTCTCTCCAGCCATGGCAGAAGCTTGCCTTCCCAATTTGGAGTAAGCTTCTTATCTCTCTTACTTTTATCTATTCAAGAATTGGTCAACACAAGGGGCCAAAGTACTTTTAGATTTTGATTTTCTATGGCAGAGACTTAATTTTCAAACGGCTCTTTTGAAGACCAAAATCCCAACCCGTGACTCCTCTGATTTTGGATTTGAATTTCAAATCAAAACCCTAGTTGTTTCACCTATAAATATACCTCTATAAGTCTCATCCGTATCCATCTGGGAATTCCAAAAACAAAACTCAGTTCATATCATACTCTGCTTTTCTTTAAAATCTCAAGCTTTACAATCTGTGGAAAACCTTTTAGTCTCCATTTTTACATTCTCGACAACTAAAGAGTGGTAGGTCTGAGCCCTCAAAGTCCCAGTTTCACTGCCCAACAAGAGGTAAAATCTGATCTATCTTATTTTAGTCTTTCGCTTAAAGACATTGTGTTCCTTTGAAAAATCATGTATTAGGTTCTCTGCTTTATTAGTTGTATTAAAGAATGCGTTAGTGATATTTCGATACTGGCGTGATATGAGAAAATTCATGTTTACAGTCTGTTTTATTCGGATATGTCTAGTTAAAATTTCATGACTAAATCAGTCAAATGTTACCTGTTAATCGTGATGATCTTTTGTGCTTTACCCACTTGAGTACTATTTAAACTTTCTGTTAAAACATTGTTGTAATGAAAGGATAGCCCTAGAAATGTTTAAACATCATGTGTACAGTATTCAAAATGCCTATTTTTTTTTTTTATAGAATGAGTTGACAGAAATGTCGTTTGAGAACCTGATTAACCATATGCTTTCATACTCGCATGAACACCGGAGCCGAAGAGTCTCACTTTGAGACTCAACGACGCCATAACACTGCAAGGAGACTGCACATCCCCGAGTCCCTTTTCCAGCTTTTACCGTGTTTAGACATCAAAAAATGCCGAAGATAAAATCTTCCGTGGGGCTTGGACATGGCTTCAGATCGCTTCACTTATCTTACTTACCTGCTATTCTGACTAACTTATATTTCAGTTATATGTGTTTACTCTTGAACGTATAATTGTTACATAATGATTGAACTGTAATTAACCATTTAGAGTCTTCGCTTTATGATATCTAGTTCTAGGACCAATAACTTAATGATTTCTCACGTATCAATATTCTTAGGATAATGAATCTTTATGACACTTTAACATTTTGGGGGCATTACTAAGTCACAATCTGGAAAGTTTTCTCTAAGTATTAATTGGTTCTTTACAATGAAGAAAGTATTTTGGGATCTCGGGTCATTTTTTTTTTTTTTTAAAGTCCAGCTCTTTAAAGTTCAAAAGTTAGATTTTCTGCTAAGTGTATTCGACTATTTTCAAGAACGTAGCTTCACTTTCTTTATTTTCACTCTTGAAGATCACGTTATAAATCTTATACAGCCTCAATCACTTTAATCAGTTAGGTTCCCATTTTGATTTAGCTAATGGGTATTTATCTTAAACTACTTGTCTTCTATAGTTTGTATTTTAAACACACGCATCTACACTCAACATTTAGCCTTAATTAACTTAAGTTTTGCCGGTTAACCGTAATTGACAGATCATATAGGGTGCTTTAATAACCTTCCCCGTAGGATTAGCTAGAACCCTTACCCATAATCTTAAGGTTAAATAGACCATATAAATAGAGTTAACTTTGGCATTAATTAGATAAAAGATGGTGTCGTAATTCATCTTAAAATAATTAGGTGGCGACTCTGTTAAAATTAATTAAACCTCAGAATTATCAATATGTTATACTCTAATTTGACTCGGTTAAAATGGGGTATAACAATCGTGTCTGGTCATATGAAGTGGCAAGCTCAAAGAAAGACGCCAATAGGTCTTTTAGAGGGAAATTATCCACACCCTTTCCGTCCATCTCCTCGAGAATCACTTGGATCTCGAATTGAAGAGAAGAAGCATTGTCTGCGGTAAGGTCCTTGAGTTTGTCATGAATTTTAACCCATGCATTCAAAATGAAATCCTTGAGAAGAGTCAAGACAACCTTTCTTCCATCAAAGATAGACATCGTTAGTGTTGATCATTGGTGAAAATTAGGCCCCGATATTTCTCCAAGACTAGGAATGGAAGTCGCCTCTAGGTATGACTTAGGTATTGGAAGTGATTTCCTCAAGTATGGCTCCGCCACGGATTCACTACTACCTTGTGGCTTGCTTTGTGTGACGCCATTTAAATCTGAACACCATTTGGCTGCATAGATAAGGATATACGGTAAGTTAAATTACTTGGATATTATAAGATAATATGAAAGTTTTAATCATTACCTCTTTGATAGCTGTCAAAGTCCTTGAAGCATTGCCGATGCTGTCAGTAATCTCGACTACACCCAAATTAGCATCTCCTTGTTTATTTGAATATGGCTTCACCCGCTTGAAATTTTGATCTCATTGACTACTATCACTCTCGTTTTGGGACAGACATTTTTTGGAGGTAGGAACAACGGTGCCTAATGGAAAGGAATCCCCATTGGCTTGATGAGCCTGAACATTTCCCTTCTTTTTTTGAACTTCTTTATATGGAGGTCCCTTGACGTCGCATGGTACAACCGCTTTGGATTTTAAAGTAGGAGGCTTGTCCTCCTTGTCATGCTCTTGAGGCGTGATCTCTAAAGACGTAGCAGTAACTTGCCCAATGGTATTCACCAAAGATTGCAAGTGGTTTTCAAGGAAGTCTCCATGCACTCTTTCCCACCAAGACTTATAATCAGACGAGACATACTTCTTCATCTTGGGCATAATAGGGGGAAATGTGGCCTTTGACCTACTTTTAGACAAAACACAAATTCGTAAAAGTTCCAATTGACGACTGAGGATGTCTTGATAAAAACCGAATTGACGACTGAAGCGATGAGGGCTATCAGGCTCCACGATGAAGGTCGATCCATTTCTCAAAGGAAGGTAATTCGAGCGAATACTCATAAAATAATTTGACTTGGACTCTTCCTCATTGCCATCATCACGATAATAATACGGTTGAGAATTACTTGGCATTGTGGAAGTCCATGCGTCACTTTCTCCTCCATGAATATGCTTTCTTGCGTCTTCATTCCCAAAGTATCTCGCTGTTCCCTCACCTGAATATATGGCCATCAGAGCAGTAGCTGGCCTATTTGTTAGAGAAAAATGAGTCTTGAAGTAACAGGACAACCAACCATACACATAATGAATTGGGAAGTAAACTCTAGAAGGATCGAGTGGTGAGCCATTTGAAATTGTGTTTAATTCCCTGTAGATGCTAGCTAAGACTGGAACGACGAGGTTAATTCTTTGCCCACGCGCTAGAAAGCCTACAATCTTGAAAGTCTCAGTTCGAATGAAGTCGCCTTTTTCTTAATAAAAAAGCAACCAAGTATACTTCGTCTTAATAGTGCATCTTCAACTTCCGACCAATTGACCATTTTATCTATGGCTCCAGTAGGGTTGTGTGTTGATTTGGGACGAGATGACTTTTTCTTTTCTCGCTGGAGGTTGTTCATACTTTAAAACCTTTTTGCACCAAAACTCTATCCATCTTCTCACATGGACGTCATGATTTTTAGTGTCCCTCTCGAAGCTGGTGATATGCATCAAATAATTGCCGACAGGCTTGTGGAAGGAACATTTTATCCTTGTCGTAAGCACCTGTAAATTCTCGAGTATTTGGAATAACTTCCTCATAAGGAGACCCCATTAAAGGCAGACCCCCAATAGTGCAGTAGTCCCAAAGGTATATGGATAACTCTCCAACTGAGTTAAGCAAAGTGTTTATAAGAAGAAACCAAGCCTCACAAAAGGCTTGCATGATACTTGTAGAATGATCATAAATAAACAATGAGGCATAGACAATATCATAAATATTGGTGGCCCTCAATGTTCGATGGTTCATACTAAGGATATCTGTAACGACCCGGCCGGTCGTTTTGAGTGTATTAGCCCCGATCCCCTATTTACTGTTTTCCCCGTATATATTTCTACTTATATGACTTATCGGGAGGTCTTGTTTTTGGTTTCGGAGTGATTTGGGACACTTAGTCCCTAAAACGGAAGTTTAAGTCTTAGAATTTTTACCGTAGTCAGAATATTATGTGAAGACGACTCTGGAATGGAGTTCCGTCAGTTCCGTTAGCTCCGTTGGGTGATTTTGGGGTTAGGAGCGTGTATGGACTGTGAATTTGAGGTCTGTAGCTAATTTAGGCTTGAAATGGCAAAAGACGAATTTTTGGGATGTTTAACCGGGGAGGTTGACTTTTTGATATCGGGGTCGGATTCCAATTTCAAAAGTTGGAGTAGGTCTGTAATGTTGAATATGACTTGTGTGCAAAATTTGAGGTCAATCAGACGTGGTTTGGTAGGTATCGGCGTCGTTTGTGAAATTTAAAAGTTTAGAAGTTCATTAGGCTTGAAACCGAGTGTAATTCATGTTTTTGTTGTTGTTTGACGTATTTTGAGGGCTCGACTAAGTTCGTATGGTGTTTTAGGACTTGTTGGTATATTTGATGAGGTCCCGGGAGCCTCGGGTGTATTTCAGATTCTTAACGGATCGGAATTTGGACTTGTGCAATTACTGAGTTTCTGGTGTTTCGCACCTGTGAGTGGGGAACCGCAGGTGCGGACACGCACGTGCGTTAGGCCAAGCGCAGAAGCGGGGGTTGAGGAGATAGTCAGGGTTCGCAGGTGCGAGGGGATTTCCGCATCTTCGAACCCGCAAATGTGCTTGAGGTTCCGTAGATGCGGAGAGTGAGCTGGAGGGTGAACGCAGAAGCGGACCATTGTCCGCAGGCGCGCACACGCAGGTGAGGCCCCTTCATCGCAGATGCGGACCCAGCCCTTTAAGTCATTTTTGCACCTATGAGGGAAATTTCGCAGGTGCGACGTCGCAGGTACGACATCACAGGTGCGACAGTGTGTCCGCAGATGCGGAAGAACTACGTAGAAAATGGGATTTCGATGGTTTGGTTTCCATTTCGATTTTGGGATTTTGAGAGCTCGGTGTGAGGCGATCTTTTGAGGTTTCTTCAAAAGATTATTGGGGTAAGTGATTCTAACTCGGATTGGACTATATTTCAGGAATCTATTGCTATTTTCATCATCTAATTAGGGATTTGAGTTGTAAATTTGGGAAAAACTGGTAGAAACTTCATAGGCTAAAATTTTGAGTTTTGGAAGGTGATTTGAGGTTGGATTCGAGTAATTCTTGTATGGTTGGACTCGTGAGTGGATGGGTGTTCATATTTTGTGACTTTTGTCGGATTTCGAAACGTGGGCCCGGGGGTCGGTTTGAGCCTATTTCGGATTTTGGCTTATAGTTTCATATTTTTCTTGTGGAATTGATTCTTTTAGCTTATATTAATTATATCGTACTGCTTGTGGCTAGATTCAGAGCGTTTGGAGATTGATTCGAGGGGAAAAGGCATTGCGGAATAGGTGTTTGTGCTGGTTGAGGTAAGTAATAGTTTACAATCTGGTCCTAAGGGTATGAAACCCCTAATTTTTGGTATAATGTGACTATTTTGGAGGTGACGCACATGCTAGGTGACGGGCGTATAGGCGTTCACCGTGAGGGATTGTGACTTGGTCCGTCCCGTGAGACTTTAAAGTCGAATAGTCTATTGTTCATTACTTGTTTTCTCTGTGTTATAGAAATTCGACTGCAAATCATGTTAGAAATCATGCTTAAGCTATGTGATGGTACTGTTGGGACCCGCAGAGGTCGCAGACTTGTTGAAGTATTTGCTAATTATTGTCTTGTACTCGGTCATGGTTTTACTTACGTATCATATCTCAGTCTCTTCTTGATTCTTGTTGATACACTATGTTATTTTTGTTTGGGCTGATCTTTATGATTTCTGAGAGCTCGAGACCCTAGAGAGGTTGGTGGCTGAGTTAGGGCCTGAGTGCCGAGCTGTAAGCTATATGTATGTATATGGATCGGTTTGCACGCCGCAACGAGCCTTAGGGTTGTATATGGATCGGGTTACATGCCGCAACGAGCCTTAGGACTGTATATATGGATCGGGTTGCACACCGCAACGAGCCTCAGGGCTGTATATATATATATGAATCGGGTTGCACGCCGCAACGGGCCTTATGGCTATTTATATGGGATCGGGTTGCACGCCGCAGTGATATAGCGCTTGGGCTGAAGGAGTCCCTCCGGAGTCTGCACACCCCCAGTGAGCGCAGATACCTATTGAGTGTGAGTACTGAGGGCTGAGAGCCGAGTGATAGAGCTGTTGTGAAGAGTTGAGTGACTATTGTCCTGAGAGGCTGTACATGTTTTTTCATTTGTTGATGCACTTAGTGGCTATCTGTCATTGTCGTGAAATTTCTGAAAGATTCTATATCCGGATCTACTCGCACTTTAACTGTATAAAACTGATTTGATTTGAACTGTCGGATTTGAAAGCAAGTCTATTCTTTGCTGAAATTATTGAAAATGAACTGTATTGTATAGCTCGTCACTACCTTCTTAGTTCCTTATTTATTTATGTTATTTGATGAGTTGGTTGTACTCATGCTATACCCTGCACTTCATGTGCAGATCCAGGTGTATTTGATCATGGAGGCCATTAAGTTCGTGCGCGATCGAGTATCAGAGACTACGAGGTAGCTGTCGGCGTCCTTAGACCTTGTCTCTCCTTCTATATTTTCTTTCTTTTCTCTACTGCTACTTAGACATTGTTTGTATTAGATTGGATATCTAGATGCTCATGACTCAGTGACACCCCGATGTCGGGCTATGTTTTCGCACTTATGCTTTAGGTTTTATCCCGTTTTTATGAAAGACTTCGGTTATTTTAAATATATTAATTCATTTATGTTAAATGTTGAAAGTGTTTTGGAGATGTCGGCTTGCCTAGTATCACGATAGGCGCCATTACGTCGGGTTAGGTTTTGAGTCGTGATAAGTTGGTATCAGAGCATAGGTTACATAGATTTCACAAGTCATAAGCAGGTTTGGTAGCGTCTTGCGGATCTGTATGGAGACGTCTGTACTTATCTTCGAGAGATTGCCGAACCCTTAGGAAAGAATTCACATTCTTGAATTCTTGTCGTGCGAATCTGTTGATTCTGGTGACTAAACATCTATTGTTTCATTCTCTCACAGATGGTGAGGAATCATACTACGGGGCAGGACGGACAACCACCAATACCTCCAGCCAGGCCGCGAGAGGCCGAGGTCGTGGTAGAGACCACGGTAGGGGCAAAGGTGCAGCCTGCACAACAGCTGGGGCAGTACCTGCAGATCCACCAGTTGCCCTAGTTCAGGAGCAGGCACCAGTTGTGGATGAGCCTATGGGACCAGATCAGGCACCACCTATGCCTATTGTGACTCCACGCCTTCAGGAGGCCTTAGCTCAGATTTTGACCGCGCGTACTAGTCTTGCTCAGGCGGTCTCTATTTCGGCCGCAGCAGCCACTTCTCAGGCCGGGGAAGGCGTTTAGACTCCCGCCGCCCGCACACCAAAGCAGGTGGTACATGTATTCCAGACAACGGGGCACCACTAGCCCAGCCGGTTGCCGCTGCTTAGGATTATATGGTTCCTGCTATGCCCGAGGGTGAGCAGCGTAGATTGGAGAGGTTTGGGAGGCTCCAGCTTCCATCTTTCAGTGGTGCAGAGGGAGAGGATGCACATGATTTCTTAGACAGGTGTCAGAGGATACTCTGTACGACAGGTATTCTGGAGACCACTGGGGTCTCGTTCACTACCTTTCAGTTCTCTCGGGCTGCCTTCAGTTGGTGGGAGGCTTATGAGAGGCGTAGGCCGGCCGGCGCATCACCCTTTACATGGCAGCAATTCTCCGTTCTTTTCCTGGAGAAGTTCGTGCCTCAGTCTCGCAGAGAGGAGTTGCGCAGGCAGTTCGAGCAGCTTCGTCAGGGTGATATGTCCGTGATGCAGTATGAGATGAGATTTTCTGAGTTGGCCTGACATACTATCTGGTTGGTTCCCACAGATAGAGAGAGGATCAGGAGGTTCATAGATGGCCTCACTTTTCAGCTGCGATTGCTTATGACTAGGGAGAGAGTGTCTGGTGCTACTTTTGATGAGGTTGTCGACATTGCTTATTAGATTGAGATGGTTCGCAACCAGGAGCCGGTTGAGAGAGAGGCCAAGAGGCCTCGTGGACAGGGTGGATTTAGCGGTGTTCCTTCTGGGGGCAGTTCCACCACGGTAGGGGTCGTCCTTTCAGACATGCTCAGACGACTAGCCCAGTTCGCCGTGGTGCATCATATGGCTATGGTTCATACAATTATCAGCACAGTCGTTCATCTCTCAGTGCCCTCCCAGCTCAGAGTTCATCCCGTGCTCCATCGGGTCAGGGCTCGTCTATGCCAGGTCCTTCTACCAGTTATCCCGGTACTTGGGGCTCCCTTCAGCCCCCAGCACCAGCACCGGGAAGTAGCTATGAGTGTGGAGAGTTTAGCCACATCATGAGACATTGTCCCCGCCTTACGGGAGGTCCGGCTCAGTAGAGGAGCCAATCTATGACATAAACACCAGTTTCTTCACCACCCCCTCAGCCAGCTCGGGGTGAAGCCCAGTCAATTAGGGGTCGCCCGAGAGGGGGAGGCCAATCAGGGGGCGGCCAGGACCGTATCTATGCTCTTCCTGCCAGACCAGATGCCATTACTTCTGATGCTGTGATTACAAGTATTGTCTCAGTTTGCTATAGAGATGCCTTTGTATTATTTGACCCTGGTTCCACTTATTCATATGTGTCCTCGTATTTCGCTCATTATCTAGTTATGCCCCGTGAGTCTCTAGTTATATTTGTTCGTGTATCTACTCCAGTGGGTGTACTATCATTGTGGACCGTGTATATCGGTCATGTGTGGTGACTATTGGGAGTATGAAGACTAGAGTAGATCTCTTGTTGCTTATTATGGTCGATTTTGACGTGATTTTGGGTATGGATTGGTTGTCTCCATGTCATGCCATTCTAGATTATCACGCTAAGACCGTGACATTGGCGATGCCGGGGTTGACGAGGGTTGGGTGGAGCGGCTCCATAGACTATTTTCCAGTACAGTGATTTCATACTTGAAAGCTCAGCGGATGGTTGAGAAGGGTTGTCTATCTTATCTGGCCTTTGTGAGGGATGTTAGTGCATAGGTCCCTGCTATTGATTCTGTTCCGGTGGTGCGAGATTTCCCGGATGTGTTTCTTGCAGACCTGCGGGGCATGCCGCCCGACAGGGATATTGATTTCGGTAATGATTTGGTGCCGGGCACTCAGCCCATTTCTATTCCACCGTACCGTATGGCATCAACTGATTTGAAGGAGTTGAAGGAGAAGCTTCAGGAACTCCTTGATAAGGGGTTTATTCGGCCTAGCGTGTCACCTTGGGGTGCACCAGTTCTATTTGTGAAGAAGAAGGATGGTACTATGAGAATGTGAATTGATTACAGACAGTTGAACAAGATCACAATCAAGAACAAGTATCCTTTGCCGCGTATTGATGATTTGTTTGACCAGCTTCAGGGAGAGATGGTGTTCTCCAAAATTGATTTGATGTCAGGGTATCACCAGATGAAGATTCGGGACTCAGATATTCTTAAGACAGCTTTCAGGACCCGATATGGCCATTATGAGTTCCTTGTGATGTCTTTTGGGCTGACCAACGCCCCATCAACGTTCATGCATCTGATGAACAGTATGTTTCAGCCTTATATTGACTCGTTCGTTATTATATTCATTGATGACATCCTGGTGTACTCTCGTAGCCAGGAGGAGCATGCCTAGCATCTGAGGAATGTGTTACAACGGTTGAGGGATGAGAAGCTTTATGCAAAGATCTCCAAGTGTGAGTTTTGGCTCAATTCAATGGCGTTCTTGGGGCACGTGGTGTCCAGTCAGGGTATTCAGGTAGACCCGAAGAAGATAGAGGTGGTTCAGAGTTGGCCCAGACTGTCCTCAGCCATGGAGATTCAGAGTTTTCTCAATTTGGCTGGTTATTACCGTCCTTTTGTGGAGATCTTCTCATCCATTGCACCGCTTTTTGACTAAATTAACCCAAAAGGGTGCTCCTTTCAGGTGGTCGGAGCAGTGCGAGGAGAGCTTTCAGAAGCTCAAGAATGCTTTGACCACGGCTCCAGTTCTAGTTCTACCATCAGCTTCTGGTTCTTACACAGTGTATTGTGATGCCTCGCGGATCAGCATTGGGTGTGTTTTGATGCTGGAGAGTAGAGTGATTGCTTATGCTTCGCACCAGTTGAAGCCCCATGAGAATAACTATCTTGTCCACGACCTTGAGTTAGTTGCTATTGTTCACGCCTTGAAGATTTGGCGGCACTATTTGCACGGGGTCCATTGTGAGATTTACACTGATCATCGGAGTTTTCAGCATCTGTACAAATAGAAAGATCTTAACTTGCGTCAGCGGAGGTGGTTGGAGCTTCTTAAGGACTATGATATCACCATTTTGTACAATCCCGGGAAGGCCAATGTAGTCGTCGATGCCTTGAGTCGCCGGGCGGAGAGTTTGGGGAGCTTAGCATATCTTCCAACAGTAGAGAGGCGATTGGCATTGGATGTTCAAGCATCAGCCAGCCAGTTTGTTAGATTGGATATTTCTGAGTCGAGTCGAGTATTGGCTTGTGTGGTCTCTCGGTCTTCTCTTTATGATCGTATAAGGGAGCGTCAGTATGATGACCCCCATTTGCTTATTCTTAAGGACACGGTCCAGCATGACGATGCTAAGAATATCACTATTGTGGATGATAGTGCATTGAGGATGCAGGGCAATCTATGTGTGCCCAATGTAGATGGGTTGCGTGAGCTGATTCTCCAGGAGGCTCATAGTTTGCGGTATTCTATTCATCCGGGTGCCGCGAAGATATATCAGGACTTGAGGCAGCATTACTGGTAGAGGAGGATGAAGAAGGACATAGTGGAGTATGTAGCTCGGTGCCTAAATTGCCAGTAGGTGATGTATGAGCATCAGCGATCAGGTGGGTTGCTTCAGAAGTTAGAGATTTCGGAGTAGAAATGGGAGCGGATCACTATGGATTTCGTTGTTGGGCTTCCACGGACTCAGCGAAAGTTTGATGCAGTTTGGGTGATTGTGGACCGGCTGACCAAGTTAGCTCATTTCATTCGTGTGATGACTATCTATTCTTCCGAGCAGCTGGCTCGAGTGTATATCCGCGAGATCATCAGGCTTCATGATGTACCAGTATCTATCATTTCTGATCGGGGTACGCAGTTTACATCACAGTTCTGGAGAGCCGTACAACATGAGTTGGGTACTCGAGTGGAATTGAGCACATAATTTCACCCTCAGACGGACGGACAGTCCGGGTGCAATATTCAGATATTAGAGTATATGCTTCATGCGTGTGTGATGGAGTTCGTGGGATCAGTTCTTGCCTCTAGCAGAGTTTGCTTAAAATAATAGTTACCAGTCGAGCATCCAAAAGGCGCCGTATGAGGCTCTGTATGGTAGGCAGTGTAGGTCTCCAGTGGGTTGGTTCGAGCCAGGCGAGGCTAGATTATTGGGTACAGACGTGGTTCAGGATGCTCTGGAGAAGGGTAGGGTGATTCAGGATAGACTACACATAGCCCAGTCCAGACAGAAGAGTTATGCGGATTGGAAGGTTCGGGATGTTGCATTCATGGATGGAGAGCGGGTCTTGCTCCGGGTGTCACCCATGAAAGGTGTTATGAGGTTTATAAAGAAGGGCAAGCTGAGCCCGAGGTTTATCGGTCCATTTGAGGTATTGCGACGTGTTGGGGAGGTTGCTTATGAGCTTGCCTTGCCTCCCAGTCTAGTAGGAGTTCATCCAGTATTCCATGTTTCTATGCTGCGAAAGTATCACGGCGATCCGTCTCACGTATTGGATTTCAGCTCAGTCCAGTTGGACAAGGATTTATCTTATGTTGAGGAGCCGGTGGCGATCTTAGATAGGCAGGTTCGAAAGCTGAGGTTGAAGAATATTGCTTCTGTGAAGGTTCAGTGGAGGGGTCAGCCGGCCGAGGAGGTGACTTGGAATACCTAACATGATATGCGCAGCCGTTGTCCTCATCTTTTCACCACTTCAGGTATGTCTCTATGCTCGTTCGAGGACGAACGATTATTTTAAGAGGGGGAGGATGTAACAGCCCGGCCGATTGTTTTGAGTGTATTAGCCCCGATCCCCTATTTACTATTTTCCCCGTATCTGTTTCTGCTTATGTGACTTGTCGAGAGGTCTTGTTTTTGGTTTCGGAGTGATTTGGGACACTTAGTCCCTAAAACAGAAGCTTAAGTCTTAGGATTTTGATCGTAGTCGAAATATTGTGTGAAGAGGACTCCAGAATGGAGTTTCGTCGGTTCCGTTAGCTCAGTTGGGTAATTTTGGGCTTAAGAGCGTGTCCGAACTGTGAATTTGAGGTCTGTAGCTAGTTTAGGCTTGAAATGGCGAAAGTTGAATTTTTGGGAAGTTTGACCGGAGGTTGACTTTTTGATATCGGGGTCGAATTTCGATTTCGGAAGTTGGAGTAGGTCCGTAATGTTAAATATGACTTGTGTACAAAATTTGAGGTCAATCGGACGTGGTTTGATAGGTTTCGGCGTCGTTTGTGGAATTTGAA